AGATCGAGACTGTATTATAGTGGGAAAGGCTGAAGAATGTAGCGGAGATTCGCAGTTTCCTCAGACTTGCAGGGTACTATTGACGTTTCGTGAAAGACTTCTCGAGTATTGCTGCACCGATGACTCGGTTAACCAAGAAAGAAGTCAGATTCCAGTGGGACGCCGAATGTGAAAATGCTTTTCAGGAATTGAAGGTCAGATTGACAAGTGGGCCAGTCTTGACTATTCCTTATAGTGAAGAACCATATGAGGTGTATTCTAACGCCTCGGGGAGTGGGCTTGGCTGTATCTTAATGCAAGGTGGACGCGTGGTAGCATACGCATCTCTCCAATTAAGACCACATGAACGAAATTACCCCACTCATGATTTAGAGCTGGCAGCGGTAATATTTGCTCTAGAGATATGGAGATGTTATCTCTATGGAGCAAAGTTTCAGGTCTTTTCTGACCATAAAAGTTTGAAGTACTTGTTTACTCAGAAAGACTTAAATCTCAGGTAAAGGAGATGGGTGGAGTATATGGAAGATTACGACTTCACTCTACAATATCATCCTGGAAGGCTAATGTGGTGGCTGATGCCCTTAGTAGGAAGACGACGGGGACTCTTGCGTCATTAGCTTTGGAAGATTGGAAAATGACTGAAGTGGTGAGTGAGTATGATCTTCAGTTCTACGAAGATCATAACCAGGCTATGGTGTATAATCTGATCTCTACACCGGATATTGTGCAACAGGTTAAGCAGAATCAATGGCAGGATCCACACCTCCAAGGAATTTAGATTCGGATCCAGAATGGAGAGCAATTCGAGGATTGGAGGATCCGAGAGGATGAAGCCTTGTATTTCCGCAACCGCCTTGCTGTTCCTAAGGCGGGTGAGGTAAAGAAGACGATTCTGCAAGAGGCACACAAATCAAAGTTTGCTATACATCCGGGAAGTACAAAGATGTACCAGGACCTGAAAAGACAGTACTGGTGGAGAGGCATGAAAAGAGACATTCGTGAGTATGTCTCGGAATGTGTGACTTACCTCCGGATTAAAGCTGAGCATCAGAAGCCGGCGGGAGAGTTGCAACCTCTTCCTGTCTCTGGATGGAAATAGGAGCACATCACTATGGACTTTCTGATGGGGTTACCAAGAACTGAGCTGAAGCACGATGCCATCTGGGTGGTGGTGGATAGGTTGACGAAGTCTGCGCACTTCATACCTTTCCACACGACGTATTCTCAGAAAATTCTGTCAGAATTGTACCTGGAGCACATCGTGAGACTACACGGAGTGCCACTGTCTATCACGTCTGATCGTGATACCCGCTTCAATGCAAGGTATTGGAGGAGTTTCCAGGAAGCCATGGGAACAAATTTGAAGTTTAGCACCGCAATTCATCCTCAGACGGATGGGCCATCTGAAAGAGTTATTTAGATTCTGGAGGATATGCTTCGTGCTTGTATTCTGGAATTTGGTGGGAACTGGAAGAAATACTTGCACCTAGCCGAGTTTGCTTATAACAACAGCTATTAGGCCAGTATTGGAATGGCACCGTTTGAAGCTCTATATGGTCGTCCTTGTAGGTCACCTGTGTGTTGGTTGGAACCAGAGGATCGACTGAGTACTGGGCCGGAGGTCATTCAAGAGAATGATGAGAAGATAGCTGTGATCCGAGAACGACTATTGACAGCTCAAAGTCGTCAGAAAAGCTACGCTGACAGAAGGCGTAGGCCTTTGGAATTATAAGAGGGCGACTTTGTCTTACTGAAGGTTTCCCCACGCAAGGGAATTGTTCGGTTTGGTGTGAAAGGGAAACTTGCACCAAGGTATGTGGGGCCATTCCCGATCGTGCAACGAATCGGAGTGGTGGCTTATCGATTAGCTTTACCGCCTGAATTATCTCACGTGCATGACGTGTTTCATGTCTCCATGCTTCGGAATGTAAACCTGAGCCAGAGGCTGTAGTACAGTGGTTTGACGTTCAAATACAATATGACGCGTCATACGATGAGGCACCAGTTCAGATTCTTGATCGAAAAATAAAGAGTTTGCGTCATCGTGAGATCCCGTTAGTGAAAGTGTTGTGGCAGCACCATGGAGTTGAGGAAGCGACATGGGAGCTTGAGATGATGATGCAGTAGCAGTATCCGCATCTGTTTATGCTTTGAGGTTAGCCTTAATTTCGAGGATGAAATTGCCTAAGGGGGGTGGAGCTGTAACACCATGAAGAATTAATTGGGATTGATTAAGGTAATTGAGATTATTAGTGTGCCTAATCTGGATTTATTACTTGAGTATTAATTAGAAAATGTTTCTGACACGTGTGAGTTTAAATAATTCCAAGGTATTTAAATTATTTTCAGTAATTTATTTTTATCCAGAAGTGTGTATGGGTGCATTTCTGGACTGTTGTTTTAAAATATTGTACACATGTCCTTTCTTTTTCTTTTTCCTTTTCTCTTTCCTTTCCTGTGCACTCTCTCTCTCTTTCTGCACTCTCACTGTCGTGCTCTCTCTCTTTCTCTCTCACTCTCGTTTTGTCCCAAATCAAATGGATCTTGAACCAAGAAAAGATTTAAAGAAGTTTTCAACGTCAAGAGAAGGATTCGAGATAAGATTACTGAAAGAACCTCTCTTGAATCTCAAGTTTTTGAATTTCAAAACTTATTTTTGGTTCAAACCGGATTTTGATGGGTTTTTAGTAGAACTAGGGTAGAAATTGGAGATCTTGGGTTCTTTGGACTTGTTTTAGGTCCTAGAACCCAGATCTAGTGGTTTCATTTTGAAATATTTCGATTTGGGACTGGATATGCAGGTTTTTAGACTGATTTTCGTGAGCTTCTCTCGCGCAGCTGGTGCCACTGGTCAACTTGTGCGGTCGACCGGATCACATGATAACCGGTCGACATGTGCGGTCGACCGGATTGCATTGGCCTGACCGGACAGGCAGGTCGACCGGTGGTAATGCACTGTTCTGTTACCGGTTGACCGGTTGACACGAGGTTTGACCCTGTTTGGCCTGAAATTGTTGTTTTGACCCCTGTTTTCAGGGAGAACCCAAATTAGCTTCATTTGGGGACTTGAGATAGATGGATTAGCATTGTTAATCTTTGTTTTGAGATCGAAATCCCTTGGAATGATAATTTGAAATATGAAAATGGATTAGGGCACACTAATAGGAAATCTTGGTTGGAAATTGAGATTTGGATTGCTTTAGGAATGAGAATTAATCCTAAAGTGTTGTCTTGCATCAATGATCGCTGAGGATTCAGACTGAAGGGGCTTGAGGAAGCGGAAGCCGAAAAAGGCAACGCTAGTCCTAGGTTTGATAGTGCGAGGTAGGATTTCTATCCCTTTTCCTTATGAGCCTGTTTTCAAAAAGGATTTTGGCATTGAAAATGTTTTTAAAGAAATGGATTGGTTTGTGAAAGAAAAGCACTTTGAAAACCATGGCTGGTATAGTTATGGAAATCCATGGCTTGTCCTGTTCATGGAATCCATAGCTTGTTTAGTCATGGAACCTCATGGCTTGCCCAGTCATGGGGCCCGCGGCTTGAGTAGTTTGTGGGGTTATATTAACGATTTCTGAATGTTAATGAATGATTTCTTAATAAAGAGATCTTGTGAACTGGTAAGAGAGTTTATTGCTGTAAGCCTAGATAGGATGTGGATAGTGCATCCTCGGGGGCAGAACCCGAAACTCGGTCCAGGTAGGCGAGGTACTTGGTTAGGTAAGTAATTTGTACTAATTACTTGGTGAAGCCTGTAAAATAGTTATTTTCAGTTATATTTCCTTTGAGAAAAAGGATGTGAGGTTCTGGCTGTCTGTTGGAAATGAATGTCTTATTTTATTTACTTATTCATTTATTTATTTCCTCGCTCACTTATTATTCATTTATTTACAACGTTTATTTCAAATTATATCCTACTGGGTCTTTCGCTCACGTTTTATGTGTTAAATGTGTTAAACCCCTCTCAGGAGATTCTAGGAGTGGTGCACAGTAGCTGGATATTTGCTACGGAGCAACTGAGTGGTGCTGCTGTTGAAATCAAGTGAGGATTGTTGTCATCCTCTGGAATAAAGTGTAAGGAATTTGAGAAATTCTGTAAACTTATGTAATATTTGGATTAACTAGACTATTGTTGATGTCTGTTGTAATGATTATTTACATGAGCATGTATGTACGATACGGTATGTCCTGTGGGGTAGAGCCCTGTGTGTCAGAGGCTCCAGAAATTTTGTAATTTATTTATATTTTAATGCAGTTGAGTGGGACTCGTCTGGGATTCTGCTTTATTAGCCCCTAATTGAGCTCCACGTTACCCACTCTGTTTGGGGGGCGTGACAAGTTAATAATTAATGAAGATCAATTAATAATTAATTAATTTTAATAAACAAATTATATGCTTATTAATGATAAAGTATTGAGAAATTAATAATGAATCAGTTAATTATGTAAACAAAATGACCATTTTAGTCAAATAAAAAAAAAGTTGAGCCATTTATAAAAAGAAGGGGTTAAAAAATGCAACCCTTTATAATTTTTTTTAAAAAAGATCAAGTGTAATTAACGCTTTCAAAGGGAAGGGTTACTTGACAAAGAAAATTGAAGCACAGAAAGTTGACTGTGAGTGTCAAGCGTTGTTTAGGGGGTTAAAATATAAATTTCTTATTCATTTTATCGATTTAAATTTTATTATAATAAAAATTTTTTAAAAATAATCATATTTAATTTATTTTACTAAAATTAAAAATTTTCATATAAAATTATATTTTAACTTAAATTAAAAATTTAAATCAGTGAATTATACAGACTCAAAATGTATAAAGTTAAGGAGCAAGGGTGAAATTAGCCGTACAAATAAATAATGAAAACAAAGTTGTCATGCGACCATTGACATTTTAGTAATCGCACGGTCCAAATTCAACGACGTGGAAATCCCAAGGTCCTCGATTGGTCCTCAAACTTTAACCTGGGACGTACATATAGATGACAACAACAGCACTCTGAAACAAAACCCTCTCACTCCCTCTCTCTTTCTTCTTTCTCACACCTGCTCCAGTCCATCCCTGAATTTGGAAATTCTTTTGGGGCTTCGATCTACGGTACCATGTTTTTGCTGGATTGGTTCTATGGAGTTCTGGCGTCGCTCGGATTGTGGCAGAAGGAAGCTAAGATCTTGTTTTTAGGCCTCGATAATGCCGGCAAAACCACTTTGCTTCATATGCTCAAAGACGAGGTCTTTTTTTTTTTTTTAAATTTAATTTCTAATTTCTCCTTATTTTGCCATGGATGCTGAATCGAGTCTTTCAATTGTGTTTCTGGTGACATTTAATGGTTCTTTCGATTTAATTGGAATTATTGTATAATTGAAATTGTCAAATAGTTGGATTTTTAGGGTTGGAATTATATATTAATCTCGTTGTGTTCGCTCTCAGCTGGACTCATGAATGGAATTAGATGAACGAATTGAGTTTATAAAGGATTGTCTTAAGCAATTATTTCTAATCATCTTCAATTTTCTATAAGAACAAATAGTGTAATTTTGTTTTTGCTATTTTCTTTTCCTTTGTTTTTGCTATTTTCTTTTCCTTTGTTTGTATAAATATTGGTGATGATAATCGCAGAGATTAGTCCAACATCAACCGACACAGTATCCAACATCCGAGGAATTGAGTATTGGGAAAATCAAGTTCAAGGCTTTTGATTTGGGTGGCCATCAGATTGCCCGTAGAGTTTGGAAAGATTATTATGCCAAGGTATGTCATAGAAGAAATGATACGCATAGTGAAAAAAAACAGCTTTGTGACTCATCATGATGCCAAAATATAACCTGTTAAGGGGTAAAAAAACTGGAACAAAATAGTAATTTTAGTTTTATGGATTTTACAGAACTTTGACATGTATACTTGGGTCATTACTATATTCATAATAACATAAGAACATGTAAGAAGTAGTGTATAAATATTTTTTGATAATGTGTATTATTTGCTCTTATTATATTCATAATAGGATGTAAGGAGCTATAAAGGGAGTGTATATATGCTTACTCTGCAAGTGGTGACTGGAATTTCTCTATATATAACTGTTTCAGCTTTGTTATTTGCTTTTTGTTAAAGTTTACTTGATGGCTTGCGTGGTTTTTTATTAGTTGTTTGGTGACTAGTTCGTGGCTTGCAGTCTTTACTATATTAAATTGAAAAAGAACAAAATACAATAGAAAGAAAAAAAGGCAAAAGATTCTACTAATAAAATTGAAAGCATAGAAGTTGATTATGTTTTACTTGTTTTGGTTTAGTCAAGATTTGAGACCTTTAAAACTTCTATTGAAATTGATAAATTGCATATTCTCGACCCCAATTTGTGTTTAGGGATCCCTTATTAGTATATTCACAACAGTAAGATGCTTAAACTTCTGTTTCCGCATGCACAATTATTGTCGTAAGATGCTTGTGCCTTCATAATCCCAAATAAACCTTTTTTATGTTTATCTGATTCATGGGAGGCAGATATGAAAAATGGTAGTTCGCTGATAGTGCCTTTTCTATTAGAAGGTATGCTAATAGTACTTACCGCACATACATCCGTTCCTCTACTATGTTTCCCAGTTAATCTCCTAGAGAAACAGATGTGGATCTCTGAATAGTTTTGCTGAATTTCCAAAGTGATACACTACAACATTCTTTAAATGGGATGACTATTCTCTGTCAAATTTGAATTCTTCAACTATACTGGATATTATCTTAAATTCTTAACCTCATAGAGAAGAGTTTTATTTACGTGGAAAAAGAGCATTATAGAAGTTGTTAAAGATAGACACACACACTAAGACACGTGATTCTTAAACGTGTGTAAGAATTTCCAAGAGGGAAGGGTAACAAAGTAATGGGTACTGTAGCCACTGAATTAGCGGGAGCCTTCCATAGAAGCCTATGCTTAATCTATGTTCTTGTCTTGCTTCAGTATATTACGTCTCTGCTTTTTACTTACTAGGTGATTTTCCATGTTTATTTATTTAAAAAAATTGCTTTGTTTGGTAAGGTGGATGCGGTTGTTTATCTGGTGGATTCTTGTGATAAGGAGAGATTCGCAGAGACAAAAAAAGAGCTGGATGCTCTCCTCTCCGACGAGGCATTGATGGATGTTCCATTCCTTGTTTTGGGAAACAAGATCGATATCCCATATGCTGCTTCGGAAGACGAGCTGCGTTGTAACCTGGGTCTGACCAACTTCACCACAGGCAAGGGTAAGGTAAACTTGGCAGATTCAAATGTCCGCCCCCTTGAGGTGTTCATGTGCAGCATTGTGAGGAAAATGGGCTACGGAGATGGTTTCAAGTGGCTTTCTCAGTACATTAAGTAGAGGGCTCTGGGACAGTACAAGCAAAGCTTTGGTTTATGGTGCCCAATTGTTATTTTCATATTAAACCCAGCTGTTGTTATTGGGGATGGTTCAATTTGTTATTTTGATGAAATGGCAAAAACACCCCCATCCCATGCCTTTGGTGAACAATCAAGTTCTCTCAAATTACCTAAAAACTTTCTTATTCTTTCTCATCGATTCTTGCCAATATCAACATGCGACAACATCGATGATTAGCCTTAGGTCAACATGCCTCTCGTTAAATTTGATGCAAGACAATCTCTCATTACGAATGTGAAGCAAGATTTGCAATAAGAAGCTCAGTAAGAATTATGTGGCCCACGTAATGACTTAATAGCCTATTAATACTATTAGATTTATTATTTATTTAAATGATTTAATAATTATTTGAATACTAAAATTTTATTAGCTGTGAGGGGGTTGTAACTCTTATTAAAAGATATGTTTCTATTTTATGAAAGGGCGTGTCTTTTGATGGAAGTTACTTGTTTATAAAATTAAAGTCTACCTTATCTACCCTTAGTATCTCTTTTCCCCAACAGAAAATACTCATTAAAAAACCTAATTGTGGGTTTAGAGAGAGAAATTTAGGGTTTATTTTTTAGAGTTTAACTTGAGTATAATTTTTGAGTTGAATTTGAGTTATTACTTGAGTTGAACTTGTAACTTGAGTTTGTGTTTGGTTGTGTACATTTGAGTTATGATTTGAGATAAAAATCTTTTTGAGTTTGTGTTTGAGTGAGTCAAAACTTGAATTTGTATTTATATAGTATTTTAATAAAAACTCAATACTGATAAAAAATTTTAATAGGGTATATGGGTTGGATTTTATTCGTCTTTTCGTTGTCAACGCATAGAAAAAAAATCATCTCAATCAGAATTAAAACGAAAAAGTTATAACATTTTTAAGAATAGAAAAAATACTGTTCATTAATTTGAGTTTGAGTTTTTAAACTCGAGTTGAAGGGGAAACTTGAACTCAAGTTTGAACTCGAATTTAAACTTAAAAGAATATAAACTCGAATAAAGTTGTAACTCGAGTTACATTTTTTTGAGTGAAAGTTGTAACTCGAGTTGCATTTTTTTAAGTTTTTCACTCAAAAGAACAAGCCTTTAAATTCTTTTTCTCTTTAGAACTCTCGTACAAGTAATCTCTTTTAAATTAAAGTAATGAATTAATGTACGCTCTAATTTTAATTATGTAAGAATCATGATGTTTTAAGATTATTACGGAGATTATTAAGTATCACAATTTTAAAATTTTACGGGCCTTGCAATGCGAGCCTACTTGAGGAAGCTCACTTTATGCAGGCAATAATCATGCAAATAATAAGAATTAGGAAATTGTAGTAAATAAGCTAACTTATAAAATATTTGAGAGTAAATCTATTTACAGCAGCAATTGGAAATTGTTGGACCATGTTCAATTTTGAATATCTCATTATCTGATTTTACTCTTCCTTATGCACTCTATATTCCCTTTTTTATTTTTCTCTATTTCTTCTCTCTGCAGGCCACAGTCCTCTTCTTCCTTCTCCTCTCTCTCTCTACCGTCCACTCTCTCTCCTCACGCCATGCAGTGAGACGCTGTTGACCGAGTTCATGGGTCTGTTGTGCCGTTCTGCAAGCTTCAACAGTTTGCGGAGTTGTTGTAGAGGCGACTATAGCCTGTTCAGGAAGCCAGCACCAGAGATCCAAGCACGAGAGGAGCACCACAATTTCATCGGTTATGAGAGAAAGCGAGGAGGGAGTTGGAGAAAGAGAGAGAAAGAGGAGGGGTATAGAAAGAAAGCAAAGACGGAGGGAGAGAGAACTATATGGAGGAGAGGGGAATAATTTTGAGTTATTTATGGAAAAATTTTGTTTATTTCCTTTCAAACTACATTTTATATGCTAGGGCATTTTTGAGATTTTAATCAAGTATAAGTTTAAATTTACATTAAATTGGCCTATTTACTAGCTTTTTTCAAACTCAAGTAGTGTTGTCAAACGTGCCGTGTCGGGCCGGCACAGCACGCTTGACCCCAGGCCCATCACGAGTCTGGGTCGTGCCAGGCACGGCCCTGCACAGTGCAGGACCGTGCCTGGGCTGGGCCTGAGAAGAAAAACTCAGGCCTGGTCCAGGCCCTGGCCCTAGTCCATAAGGGCCAAGGCTCACGGGCCGACCCTTGTTTTTTTTTAATTTAATTAAAAAAATATCAAATGTCCCAAAAGATGTGATTTTATTGAATTGACGTAATAGGAGTACACATAAATGACTGTCTCGTTAAAAACCTTGCTAAGCCCGTGGGGAGATCGGGACAAAACCTTAGCGACGGAAAAAAGAGTGCAGTAGCTAGGAATAGTAAAATACAAACCTAAGTGCTTCCAGAAGATTTGTTATTTCTAAGTTAGAAAAATATTCTTGCATCGAATCATCTGTGTATTGTTGTTTTCGTCTTCTGGCATCTTCCCAGTCTTTAACGCACATTAGTCCCTCCAAGATATCTGGATGCACTATGTTTCTCTTCTCGTCAAGAATTCGGTTGCTTGCGCTAAAAGCTTGCTCCGATGCTACCGTTGACACTGCTGGTTCCCGAATCGAATTCGGGTGCGGAAGCGTGGGGATGAAAAACAGCTGATCGTGTATAACAAAAATTTTCATAAAACTTTTGACATACTCTATAGATTATATTAATTTATGCACGAATAAATTAATCACATTAATTTACATCATTCAAGGATCAACCGAAAAATACCTGGAAGCCGACTCGGATGATAACTTGAATTTCTTTGACCACGAACAGTCCTTGCTCCAAGCTTTGTGTTTAGAATACCAAAGTCTTCCACGTCAATTCCTTGATTCCACGTAGACGGGTGTGTGGGCACACGTGAGACAAAATAGGTTTCTTAAACACTCGAATTTCCACAAACACCAACGCATGCACGATGTGGAATTTTTGGAGAAAAATATTTTGTTCTCTTTTTTTCTCTACGAGAATTTCGGCCACACTCAATTAGGGCTGAATAATGTGTCAAAAATTGTCTCTCCAATTTTCTATCTTTCTCATATTTAAAGAGAAGAAGTCAAACTTCAAAATAGAATCAAATCCTTATCTCCAATTTTTGAATTTGGAACAAAAAATCCCTTCCCCTTATCCACT